GGGGGGGGGAGGAGGGGGGGGGGGCCCGGGGAGTAAAAACCAGAATCGTTTCCACTTGAATGAATTTGGACGCTCCGGTCCAGACCCATTCATCCTAGCGCATCGCGACTTATATACGGCTGCGACGTTTGGACGTAACATGGTGGTTTTAACATTTTGTACTCGTTGACAACAACCCAAACTCGGTTCCAAAGTAGGTGGACACCAACAAGCTTCGGTGAAAACTAAACACATATTACGATAACAAAAGGAAGACTTAGTCAGAAACAGGTGAGAGATAGAGGCCTTGCACAAGGGCCTTCAAAAAAAAAAAAAAAAAAAAAATTGCGAGTTTTTTACCCCCTTTTGTTCTTACATCCTGCACTTGAATGGTCTGCTGCACTTCCCATCAGATGCAAACCTACTGCAATCAACACAGAACTATCATTCCCATCTCACCTAAATGTATGCCAGCATCTTTCAGTTCATTTGCAAAAGATATAATATGTAGGTCCTGGCCCTTGGGTTAACAGACCCTAGCAGGCCTCACTCTCTACCTATATTACCATGTTTTTTTTTTTTTTTTTTTTTTTATTATTATTATTATTACTACGATGTTTTGATTAGTTCACCAGAAAAAAGACGAAGGGAAAGAAATAAATGACTGGTCCATCAGTGGTCAGAACTTCTTGGTAGGTCGCAGTGAAACTTAAAAAAAAAAAAAAAAAAGGTGAAAAAAAACTTAAGGTGGGGAGTGCTTAGGCATGCGCCTACTGTCTTCAACCCGAAACACAATGCACCCTCATTTTGGCGACACGGGGGCCATGTCCCACTTACGCTGATCCTTGATTTCTGGTCGTTGATCTTCCAAATCTGTGGTCAGAAATCGATCATTCGGGTACTAAGTGGGACTTGGCCCCCGGACTGGAAAGGCAGGCTGAGCTTGTATAGATCGTTATCAGGGTGCGATATATTTTTGGGAAGCCGGTAGCGCAGCTGGTACGTCCATAAACTGTTGAAATGCCGACCGGAATTCAAATAGTTATGGGCACAAGATGAATTCATGCAACCATGGACTTGCACAGGGGAGAGGCTCGGCTGCAGTGCAGAGGCTCGCCTCCCCCGGGCCGGCGGTGATGTGTTGTATCTTGCCTTGGGCACGGGGCGATTTTAAAAAAGGATACTTTTGAAAAAGAAAAAATTAACTTTTTTTGAAAAAGGTGGGTACTTTGGTGATGTGTTGTATCTTGCCTTGGGCATGGGGCGCTTTTGAAAAAGGATACTTTTGAAAAAGAAAAAATAACTTTTTTTGAAAAAGGTGGGTACTTTCTCGTCCGTGTCTGTTTGGCGGAGGTAACTGAAACAGAAAAAAGGAAAAAGAAAAAAGAAAAAAGAAAAAGAAGGGATTTTTTTTTTTTAATAACCCCAGAGGGTCCAAGTCCCACTTACAGCTCAACATCATCAAGCTAGATCCATGCGGGTGACTTGACGCGACCTTGGAGATGCATTCTTTTGCTGTGCATCTAGCCGTTGATTTTTTCCGTGTGAAAATGAAAAGACTTTAAATATGTGACATTTTGTGACCTTTTTTTGGTCCGAGAAACCCGACAAAAATTCCTTTCACCGTCCTTTCTCAATTTGAAATATAATACAATTAAAAAAAAAATAATGATAAATCCGTTCACCCTAATACAAGGCCCCCTGGTACCCCTACCCTCTGCCCTTTTCGTTCAGTTACCCTAGCTGCCCAGCTTAGAGTGGGGCAGCTAGCTCACAGGACGTTGAGCCATCATTACCTCCTCGTGGGAGGACACACTGACAGACCTGCTAGGGAACTCTGACAGACAAGGGAGGACACCCAGACAGAAGTGGGAGGACACTAGTCTCGTTTATTTGTGCACCGGTGAATACACAGAGCCAGGAATACTGTCCATGTTCGTTTCACGCTATAGTAGTGAGGTGACTGAGGTCCCAGTCTCTGACTTGGAGCAATGCAGGCAGAGTTGTGCATACTTAGGAGAGTTTCACTCGAGAATATTTTGTTTCTCCATTTCACTTTTTTTTGGGGGATCCATTTCATTTTTTTTTAAATATGAAGGCAGGCATTCAGTACCGTTTCTTTTTCCCATTTTACTTTTTCGTAAATATGGAAAATAGCTTTCAGCAGCATTTGTTTCTCTTTTTTCAAGTTTTAATTCACAATAACTGTGTCACACCTTTGAGCTACCTCAACTCAAGGGTGTAAGCCGGGACTAGGTCCCACTTGCACTAATCAAGAGATAGAGACCGTAGATAGCCCAGATCAACGGCCAAAATTTCCTAATCCGTGCAAGTGGGACCTTGCCCCCGGGACCTGGACCCGGGGTATATGCCCTTCCTGCCTTTCTGTCTGTGTGAGCCTTCATATCTTTCCCAAGAATAAGGGCATTCTCGCACAAGGACTTTTTTGACTCCTCTGGCCATAATTGTGGTCAGGTGCATCCAAAGTCTGGCCTTAAAAGAGGTCAGATACGTCCAGGAAAGTCCTCCTGTGCCTGAGCCCCTAATGCCAATGGTGATATAGGAGCTGCTGCTTTTTCCAAAATGCAGCTTATGTCCTTCGGGTTAAAATTGGAAGGATTCAGAGAAGATTTTTTTTTTTTTTTTTTTTCATCCGCTAATTACAAATTTCTAGACATTTATGACACGCATAAATCGAGAAATGGTCCAAATTAAAAATAAAAAAATAAAAAAAAATAAAGAAATGCAGCTTACTGCAATTACGGCCAGACCCCCAAAAAAGGTCCCCAATCACTTCCAGAGCTTTGTAGAGAAAAGTCTTACCGTCGTCTTCCTCCGCACCTTGTTCTTGTTGATAATGAATGTATGGTGGCCATCTTTCCAGTCAGGTTCGGCCAAAATGAGGGTGCGTTGTGTTGCGGGGAAGACGGTAGTGTGAGTATGCCCTGGGGCAGACGATCACACACATTGCTCGTGGGACCAGGGGCGAGGTCCCACTAGCAAAGAGGATTGGATTGAACGCCCGAATCTGGCCGCGTTTGTGGACAGGTGCAGAAAATCGAGCTTGAACTCCTTTTCTGCATCTCTGCCTAAAACACGCCCCGATTCAGGATCTTAATCCGATCCCCTTTGCTAGTGGGGGGGGACCACGCTCCAGGCGGCGGAGCTCGAGACAGGAGGACGTCGAGTCCATCCAGAAAAGGACGGGGAAACAATTAAAAGAAGGCTGAAGACAAAAGGTCACTGCTTCACAGGAGGGTGCTGATAGAAGGGTATCCTACTCCTCCTCCCTTCCCCCATTGTTCGGCCGCACGTCGTTGGCGTCGCCTTGGCCTTGTTGGCCAGCCACGACGGAGGCAGAGAGACGCTCCCTAGGCTCATCTGCGAGTTTTTTTGCCTCTCTCCAAGTGTGTGCCTCGCTTCTGCGTGTGCGAGCAAGCGAGCGAGCGAGCGAGCGAGAGAGAGAGAGAGAGAGAGAGATGGCAGCGGTGGAGGAGAAGAAGCAGGGGACGAGGGAGGGGGAGGAGGAGGAGAAGGGAGGAGAGGGGAAAGGAGGGGAGAACGAAAGAGGGATCATGTCGAGCGAGGTGTTGAGCAATATCCATCTTGTGACTTCGCGCTGGTACAGGACTGGCAATGGCGCTACGCGAAGTCAAAGGCTGTTCTGCGTTTACCGAATCTTGATTGCGCTTTACTGGAGCGCGTGGCTGATTTACTGCGGGATTGATCGAGGCCTGGGGCTCAGTGAAACGGTGCCAAACCACTGGAAATGGTTTATTTTCCTCACCCACTGGACGGCCGTGATGTTGGCTGTATACCTGCTTTGGGCAGCTGCGTTGTGCTACGGCTTCACTTTCGGCCAACATGTCCTGTGTAAGTCGTATTCCCTCTCAATCCAGACTCCTCTCTCCTCTCGCACCAGATTGCATCCCAACATCCATTGCAAGGGCTATAGGCAAAATGTACATTGCACCTCTCTCCTCTCCTTTTTGCTACGCCTCTCTAACCCGACTTACGGTTCTCGGTTGCTTCGTTCTCTCTCTCTCTCTCTCTCTCTCTCTCTCTCTCTCTCTCTCTCTCTCTCTCTCTCTCTCTCTCTCTCTCTCTCTCTCTCTCTCTCTCT